GCTCATCAGTTCATCAAATTAATGCCATATAAGTCTACATAAACATAATCACATTCTCATATTTTATATATTTACATTACATTCATTAGAAACTTACGAAATAGAATCTTAATCTTAGATACTATTGCTAATATTGTTAATAATAATTGATGGATGTCGCAATGCAGTAAAATTCCCCTAACTTGGGTCGTCAAAGGTACGGCAAAATTGTAAAAGTTATAAAGAAAATACCTTTTGTTTCGGTTGTTCTGCCAAATATTTTTTATTTAAAATACTCAGTTACAGTTTTTTAGTTTTTACCACTGTCCATTAAATTTCCAACGTATTTAATGATTTCAATATACAGTCAAACTTCCATAACTCGAATTTTCTATAACTTGAACCAAAAACAGTGCACCAAGGTTTTAGAGAACAAATTACATACAATTCTGCTTCCATAACTCGAATTTCTCTATAACTCGAACAAAAATTTTTTTCCGTGCCGATAAGAATATGCGAAAGTGCATTCTATAAGTCGAATTTTTGTTTTAAGTATAAATGCATTTTGCTGTTAGGGGAAGAACCTTTTTTCAAACCAAATGTTTAATTTTCTCTTTCTTATGCTGCTTCTTTGTGCAAATGCCAGTCGCTGGCAGCATGGTTTAAGGTAAAAAAAAAATAACTTCCAATATACTCTTATATATATACTAATATAATATAACTTATAATACTCTTAACCATTATACTGAGCTTGACAATGAAATTCGTACATTAAGCTTTCCTACAGATGACGAATTTATTAAGCACTATAGCTCTAAACTATTGGATCCAATTCTAAGGGCGACGGAAAGTGATGATGAGGGTTCGGTATATGAAATTGTTCATCAGCTTTCCAAAAATGAAGTAGAACACTCATTCGCAGTTCTGAATTCTTATTTTCAAACGAATAATACTACAACTGATGATCACTATAAGTGTATGAATAAAGTGGAATCTCTTTTTATTTCTGAATATTTTACTTCATTATAACTTCTGTGCTTTATTTGATTGCAAAGAAATAAATATCTTAAAATGTAATTCTAGTTTCTTTCAAAAATAAAAAAAAAATAAAGCGGATTTTTCGAACTGTAGTGAACTACAACAACAAAAATTTTATTTTTGACATTATTTTAATTAATTGAATTTTTGGCTGATCATACAGCTGTTTATTGCCAAATACCCATCATCAGTGATCTTGGAAAAAATTCTTGTAATTAATTATTCGTAAATAATTATTTTTGAGACTGCAAGTACCAGGAACCAAACTCGGATCCTGTCAAACGTGAAGTTCAGAATCAGCGCACCTTAACCAACTGATCCAAAGCCGTACTGGACTTTATATGTTCGCATATTTTTCTGGAGTTTTTGTTACTTTCGCTGTGAAAGTTTTTATTAACAATTTTACTTGCTGTGTTTATATTAGAACGAAATCATAAACTATCCGTAAAATAATTGAATTGATTAATTAATTATATTTTTATTTTTAATTGTTAAATTTCAATACTATTCTGCTCGTAGAGGCATTATTTGTTGCATGATTTACTCTTTCTTTCTTAAAAAAATAAAAAAAATGCTCGAACTCGAAGTCTCCATAAGATGAACCTTTTCTTTGCAAAATTGGACTTCGAGTTATGGAAGTTTGACTGTACATATATAATTTTTATTTATTATATTCGATTATATGTAAGTATTGGTTTTCTGTTTACTTGTTGTTCTCTTTCCATATAATTTTCAAAATTATTTAATTGGAATATATCATCCGTTGCGTTTGCTCTGGAATGAATAAATGTTCAAATTGTCTTGATCGCATCTTTATTTGAGGCAATTGTGTCAAACTGCTTTACATTTTCTCTTATAATACTAACCGACAGAAGTAGATTTTTTGCTCTTGTAGTAATTATTTACTGTAACATAGCTTCGTCCACGTCATCATATTTACATTTTGTAACTCGTTTATTGTTAGAGAACTCTCCTTTTAATTTGTCCTTATTCTTTAAAATCATAGATGAGGTGTTACAAGTAATTCCTTATGTCTCTGCTACATCTTTTTTCTTTTTATCACCTTTATCTATTTCAATAATTTAGTCAATTTTTTCCGTGATTGTCAAAACGTTTCAAATTTTTTGTACCCATTTTTGTGACTGAAAGGTTACTGCTGCATTGACAATAAGCATAACTCTATCATCGCATTGAGGAAATTTACAATAATAATAGCAGATGTTAGCCATCTGTGTCATCGAAAGTTAGAATTAAATAATGTTGCGCAAGTTAGAAAAGTAATAAAAATTTGAGATGTGGAGATAAATTTAAAGGAAGTGCTGATAGGCTATAAAAATTTTTACTTTGAGTTCTGGAATTATTCGAGTTAGGGGAATTCGACTTACGGAGAAAAAAATACAAGAAATAGTTGTTGAAAATTCAAAGTTCGAAAATAAAAGTTCGAGTTATGGAATAATTCGAGTTACGGGACTTCGAGTTAGAGGAATTTAACTGTATATGTAAATGAATTCAGTACGAAGCATTTCACACTAGAACTTATTTTCTTTAAATTTGGGAAAGTAAGCTCTTAATAAAGAAGTGTTCCGGCTTATTTTATTGGTTAGTATACAACCAATTTGCTATTAAAAATTTTTAGATAATGTATTGTTTGCCTTACGAATAATACCATATTAACGATAAATACGAAATAGCTTATAATTTAATTTATATTGCCACTAGTATAAAAGTGTCGTCTGCGCTATTTTCATTAAAATTTAATTGCTGTCAAATACTGCGAATAGTCATATCAGGGCACTGTAGCCAAATAAGTTTGGTAAACTTAATAATATTAATCGAGTGTCACTTACAATTGCCAAAAGCAATGGAACAAATTGTGGTGGATATAGATATGTATATAGTGAAAAGGTATAAAGCATTCAACTGTAGTTTAATACCAAACTAGCAAACCATCAATTATTGTAAACCAAATGAAAAACCGGACCATTTAACGCACACACATTCCTATTTTATTTGATTTTTTATAATATTCTTTTTAAGTGGATTATCACTGTCACTGCCATTGCTATTATTACTATCGTAATGTTATCATAACGTATTGATAATAATAATCGAACGACATTAAATACTGTGACGACTAAGGTGCCATCTGCAATAGGCTTGCTTTGGCGAGGGAATTGATAAAAACTGTTTGTGGGATTGTGAAGTTTATCAAAATGCCTGTCTGTGCAGTTGTCTGCCTCAGTCAGTGATTTTTTATTATATTATTGGCCAATTTATTGTCAATTGGCGACTCAAAAACATTTATTAGTTTAATATATGATTTCGTATTTGGAATTTCTAATTAGAATTAATAAATTTATTCGCTCTTTTGAATTTGTTTGATTATAGCTTCATTTAGAAACGTGCGCACCTCATTTCGAATTTGTTGCGAGTTAAGAAACTTCACGGATCTGTCTGTCTACACATTAAGGTGGCTTGAAGTAGTTTTAAAAAATTTACTAATAATATACGCTAAATTTTTATTTTTACACAATTGTGATTATTTATTGAATAAAAAACGACAAAAGGAATATTTTTGTCACAGTTTTCGTATATAAAAATAAGCAACCTAAATTTCTAACACTAAATACAATAATATAAATACTTTAAATAGACTCAAAAATCAAATATACAAAAAAAACATCTGTAATTTATCAGAAAATTTATTAAGAAATTGTAAATTAATGAAAAGATATATTATAAAACTGCTAAGAGTATTTTTTGTTTATAATGGAAAAGTATAGAATCACTAAAAAGAAGACATTCTTTAATTAATGGAAGTCAATAACAGTATTCATAATATAGCGTATAATAATGTTTTTGTGTTTAGTGTTTGTGAATTATTATAATTTCATGTTGTGATTAACTACCTTAAAAAAACGAAAACAATATTGTTATTGTACAATAATGCATCATAATGTATATTAATAAAGTATATAAAAAAGTATGTTAAAATACATATTAAAAACCAGAGAAATTTATATTGTATTATTGTTTAATTAAGTAGTATTATTTATAAAATTTTGCTTTTTTCTAAACATATTATCTGAGTTTGTCCATGGATTAATAGAATGATATTGGCAATGACGTAATTATAAAAGTTTAATTGACTGTAATAATGTGATATATGCATTTCATTATATGCTGCATAATAGTTAATATGAGTATTGTAACAAAAAAAAATATAAGACATGTATAATTCTATATACTATGTGTATTGAAATGGAAATAAGCTGAAATCATTTGCTATTCCTCGGTATTCGATGAAATTATTTATTAGGCTGGTAATTGGGCCAGAAATTTCAATTAGTTATCAGAAGAACTGCAACAAAAATAATTTTATAACGTCTTCTTTAAAAATTCCTTTTAATGTTTTACTCTTTTATAGTTAACAAAAATTTTATCAATTTAATATTAATGATGAAAAATATTGTACATGCATTCATTATCATCTAAATAAGCAGATATCAAATTTTGTTTTTAATTTTTTGAGTTGTTACGTCGAATATAGTTTAAAGTCAAACCAAATAAATCAAAAAATTGTTTGATTAAACAAATAAAATTTAATTGTTAATATGAATTTTATCACAACAATTTGGAGCGAAGAGTGGAGCAGCGTTTTAAAAATTTTATTGTTACTCTTCCGATTTTATCTAAGTTAAACCAGTAAAAACGTCAGCTAAGAGTTAAAAAGTGTAAAATGACTAAATGCTCATAGAGGTGTTTGCGTCTCTCTAATTTCTCAAAGGTATCTTAAAATTGCAGTTGTAAAAAAGAGCCAAAATGCTGGTTGAGCGGCAGAAAGCTTTTTGCCATTGTAGAACACCTTAAAATTTGAAAATTATAATTAAGAGACAGAATGGGGTATATGAAAAGAAAAAAAACTAAAAAATGAATGCCTTAGATATTTGCGAATTAGTCGTCTTGGAGAGTACTATACATTAGTCGATCGTTGTGCGTCTCGTGTCGAAGTTGTTTTAGTTGTCAGCGCGAGCCGTTCGTTGTATTAAAGTCTTGTGTTGGTTCTTTATTTTAATTGCGATCGTACATATAATATCAAATAATATAGGGGCTTCAAATCGAAACTGAATAATGTGTATATGTGTATAAAATAATGATTGTTATTATTCAATTTGTTGTGTAATATCAGTGAAATTTTTTGTTAAAAACACGTGTTATTCTGTACTAGTTTCTTTCCGGGCCATTACTAAACTTACCTTCAAATGCAGATTTTACCGTTTTTATTCAACTCACTTTTCTCTCCATAAATATGTTTATTTAAAAATAAATTACCAAAATTAATTATTTTTTTAATACGAATTGCCCAAAAACCAACGCAAATGTTTAATTAATTTTTTTTTCGCAGCGTTAAATAATAAATACTTAATTTTCTTGTGCTATGGGTGCAAAGAAAATTGAGAATAATTATTTTAATATATTGTTTAAAAAGTTTTATTATGTTTTCAGAAATTTAATTTTTGTTCTCCACACTTATTGCTCATGCTTTTTGTTTTGCTTTTTTTTATTCTTGCTCTCTACCGGTGCAGATTTTTTTGTTATTGCCGTTCATGTTTTAACTACATTTTTATCATCGTTACCACATAACTTATTTTTCCATCATATTTATTTTATTATTATTACCTTTCTTTTCTGAACGTTTTTAACCAGTTTTTACACACACACAAAAGTTTCAAATTAAAAAAGTTTTTAGCCTACTATTTATTAAACCTCATTCATTGGCACTACTTCGTTATAATTTCATGACGAATCTTTTCTTAGTGTATTGAATTTAACTTGATATTAATAGAACATATTTTAAGAAATTAAGTTTATAAAGCAATATATTAGTATGTAAAATATTTAATCAATTATTTAAAAATATAAAAAATCATTTACGCACAAATACAAATAAAAGAAAATATATTTCCGAAGGATCGCAAAAATACTAATTATAAATGAAAACATAGAATCGGAATTGGCAGTTCTACATTTGTGTGCAATATCGATAACAATTCTATATTAATAAACATTACTGGTAACAGTTTTTAAATACAGTTAATATAAACTATTTGAAAGTTAATAAAGTTCGTGAAAAGCCAAAACACAAACATTTCTAAAAATACGTACTGCGTTTATATAAAAAATTCATTTTATTATTAAAGTTTTATAACCGTGTTATTAAATTTAAAAATAATACAACGGATGCAACTATTGAAAACAAGTTTTCTTTGTATGAAAATTAATTTTGAAATTTAATTATATGTGTATAAAATCATATAATTTTCACTAATGCCGTTATTTTAAAATGAAATGCCACGTTTCTAATAAACAGAAAAAATAATAATACTTTGATATACAATTATGTTTTAATTTAACATATATCTGTACTGTGTTGAAGTTAAATTTGATATATTATCTTATACAATTGTTATTTATTTTTCTCGATTTAGTAAAAAACCTAATACAAGTGTCAAAAAATACATATCACCGAGTTGTTAGAAAATATATACCTACAATATTTTGAAGTGCAAAACAGATTCTAAAAACAACACAATAGAAAGTTTTTAAAGCAAAACTTTTCTATACAATGGCAAGCCTGTCCTTTAATCAAGCGAATAGCGATAGCGTTTGTGAACTTACGCCGAAAATCAGTAAATTTTTCAGCGACAGCTCAAATTACCAAAGCAAAATTCAACAACTGATCAGCTTTAGCTTCACATCTTACAATTTCATATTTATTACATGCATACTTAGCATAAGTAAGTTGTGTACCGCAGCCGCCACTGATCCAACACAATCTGGGGCTTCTACAGCAGTGCCATCACCAAATACTGGCTTTGTTATACCTAATATAAGTGGATCTGCATTATTAGAAAAACTTAATTCATTACGTGCAAGTACAAGTGGTCCAGCAATGGATAAGTCAAAGAATTCTAGTCCCCATGCAGGAAATAGTATAATTGATAATACCGGACTTAATTCATTTTTTGGTGGTAAAGGGTTTATGAGTATGGATTTTACGTTCTTAAATATATCGGGAAAAATTGGGACACCGTTAAGCATAGGTAAGTCAACTTTAAATGCATGGTTTTAAATGGTTTTAACTAAAAACTGACACTGTTTTCAATCTTCAATTACAATTTTTATTGTGGCAGTAACAGTTGTGAAAATTTAATTGAACTTTTTTTTATTAGAAAATAAAACACTTATATCAAGTCATTAAGTGGTTACCTAAATTTATTTATATAATCATTTACTTTCTTAATTGCTTTTACAACTACAACAACCTAAACCACAATTCTCTTACGTTTATTATTTATATGTAGTCTTAGTATTTTATAAGGTTTTTCGATATAAAAGCAATGCTGACCCTTCACATCTTTAGATCGTATAATATTCTTTCTCTTAAAAGGTTTTGTTTTGTATTTCCTCGTTTTTTACATGACATTTGTTTGGTTGTTTTTGCATCGTTTTTGGTACATATGTATATTCTTTCCAGTTATTTTATTATGTACACTTAATGATTACTTCTTATATCAGTCGGTATTTTTTTAAGAGGCAAGTCAAAAATGAGAGTCTATTGAAGAGCAACAAGTTGCATATTTGTTTTTACGTATGTTACGTACAGTGGATTGCACTATGCATTGCACTATGACCATCAAAATTGAATAAACTTACATGCACTAGGGTAAGCACGTAGCTTCCAACTTTGCCCTATTCATATTTAATTACTTCTAATCGGTTTCTTTAAACTTTAATAAGCAATTTGTTTTTTCTGATATTGGTTTTATAAAAAATAATTAACTTCCGCAATCTTGGGTTGTTATTCCTTATAATAAAAAATTTAATTACTTGTAAAATAGAATAAATAAATTCAGTTATATTCCCAGCTTCGTAAAAATGATTAAGCATAGCCGTTAATTATAAATTACAAAACCAATTGTTTTTATTTAAATACTAGTTGACCCGGCGAACTTCGTGCCGCGTAGCAGTCAATGAATGTTATATTAAATTTTAGGTTAACTAAATTAAAAAATTTATTAACGTAATAAAATGAATACAAAAAATTTATTATGTTCAATAGTTAATAGGATATTAATATATAAACAAAACAAATACACAAATACAGGAATATAACAAAACTTTTTCACCTGTATTTCACCTGTATTCAACATTTGCTTTTTTCAACATAAATTACCTTGAATGTCGGATTAAATCCATGTTCTTCGATAATGTCTGCCCCGAATGAAGTCATTTAAAAGGAGCCATTGTATTTTTGAGTGTTCGCTAGAAAATGTCGTGATTCTGGTGTTTCACCACAAAGCAATGAATGCAATGGCTCAGGTGGCGGAGTCAATAATGGCAATTTTACTTTGCCATTAAGGCAGCACAGTCCCGGCTTATCTCCAGCAAACTTTAATGCTTCACAATGTACGTAAGTAACGTCCATTGGACCAATGCGAAGGCTGCGAAGTATAATCATTTGCGCAATCGTATGGAAACGCTGCTTGATACAAATCAATAGTTGAAACATTTCTTTTTGCGCGTCGAAGATATCTCGTTGTTGATCTGTGTGATAAGCTCGACCATTATTCATTGCCAACCGAGCCGTTTCACGGGCTGCCTCTCTTTGCTCTTGTGTTTGAGAAGCGCGAAGGCGGGTCGTACTAATGTGGCTCTTTTCTCGTGCGATTTCCCGTTCTTTTTCAGTGGATGCATGCGTAATATTCCGACGTCTAATTGTATTTTAAATAATTTCTTTATTTCTTTATGAAACAAAAAATTTAAAATTTCGGTACTTACAGCTCAGATATTGACGACAGTATTTATTTATTATATTTGAAATTTAAAATATTTGAAATATTGATGACACACAAAAATTCAAAAAGAAAATCAGTATCACTCAAACTGTCATACTGTCAACAGTTTGAAACAGAAATTTATAAATTTATTATTTGTTAAAATTAGTGGACTTTTCCAATATATATATTCTGCTATTCGAATCGGAGACGAATCCAATAAATCAAAGATGATTAAAATCGGTGCAGCCGTTCTTGAGTTATAAGTGGTCTAACTAACACGACTTTCTTTTATGTATATAGATTTAAAGGCGATGAAATAAATAATAATAGTATGAAATACAGTGATAAATTTTATTGACTGTTGATTCATGTGAACACATTGTATATTAAAAAATACTGTAATCTTTGAATTGTGCTAATAATTTAAAATTCAAGAATGATTTAATTGCGGAAGAGTTTGATTTTCCAACATTTATTCAAAGGTTTTCTTTTCAAATATTTTATTAAACTTAACGAATTTACATTTTGAAGAAACTGTTAAAAGTAAATTAACGAAAGAATGACTTTTATTTTTTTGGCGGCCGTCCTTTGCCGCGTCCTTTATTGTCTACCTCTAAACTTTATCCTTTGTGGGTTCCATTTTAACGCACGTGGTCTATATTTTTGAAGCTTTTTTAAATATGACCAACCACTTGGACTTGCACTTGCAATTCTCGTTTTCAGCTAATATTTGCTCTCAAAGTTGTAAATTACGATTGAATGCGTATAATAGCTTATAGGTTTCAATTTTTTCACTTTCGTGTTTACTACAAAAACACTCTTTGCCAGTTCCCACATCCAAATAACGTACGTTCCAATTTTGCCCTGACTTTTTGAATTTTGTTTCTTATAGCGGCAAGGATACCTTCTCGTTGGTACCTGAATATCAAAATATTCTACGTTTTAAATTTGAATACCATCGATACCTAATTTAAAATTGTTGTTGGCATTAATTACCACTCTTCTTCTGTTCTGTTTATTCCGTCAGGTTGGTTTTACTTGTCTTAAATGGAGGTTACTAAAATAACACTATTCCTTAAATCACTTAGCTTGACGTGCGATTTGTATTTATTTAGAAACCAACTACAAATCTGGAAGATCTGTTAATTCAAAAACTGTTTCGAAAGCTTTGTTGAGAATAGTGGTGATATTGCACAAACTTGCTGAGCTTTTCCCCTGATAATACTCGGCTTGCTGATTCATAGTATCAGGTCTTTAATAGCACTACAATTGTATCTTACACACGCCAAGCATTGAATGCCGTTCAATTAGACTGACGATTAAAAGAATTATATCCAAGAAATCAATTAAAGTCAGATATAAGAGTGCGTTAAACTTAGACTGATTTAATTCAAGATTCTTGTGAAGAGGCTCTTCCATCATGTTCTTGACAATTTTTCATTATAGTTACAGAACGCATGTCTGCTATCTGAGAATTTTAATAATAATGAAATTCTTTAATACATTTGGTACGGTTACAGTGCTTGCAATTGGGTTAAAAATAGAAATTATTTTATAAGATATGAGTTTATAATCTATTTGAAATTATTTTGTGTCAAGCTTGTCGTTTTCTGAAACTTTTTGCATTTCTAGATACTTAAAAGTATTTTAAATTTCGACAGTTAAAATAAAGAAATTGTGAAAAAAACTGGGTTCATGTATTGCTTTTTTGGCTGCATCTCGGTCTTGCCATTTTAGCCGTAGACGAATGCTAATTGATCAACATTTTAGAGCTTTAAAATAAATTTGTTCATCGCTGCGAACTCCAGATTTCATACTTGCCTGGAGAATTATTTTCTTTCCAAATTTTTGAATTAGCTGATCTATCTTCAGGTAAGGCGTCCACTTAGCTAAGGGTAACATTTATGTTTGTAGCATGTAAATGAGAATTGATTATACTTTTATTCCACGTTTTCATGTTATTTTAGAGTTATTAGAATTAAATTAAGGTAGATGCCTATGTCTCGTATGTATATTTTAAACCTCGGAATTAAAAATACATAAGAGAAAAAGGTCTCCTTCGTTATTGGATTCATTTTTCGCACTCTTAACACATAACAAAATGGGTGTTTAAACTGTAACCCTGTAACTCATTTGCCGTTTATTAAATGAATTAACGCTTCTCTGTTTATGGTTTCTCGCTGCTTTCTATAAAGGGTAATCTGATTAATTATGCTCCAATAAGTACTATGTATTGAAATGGTGGTATTTTTGAAGAAATTAAATTTTGATCAAACATATATTAATTCGTGATACTTTAATGTCAAAAAGTTGTTATACAATATAAAAACGACCAAAATTGTTAACCAAAATTTTTTAAATTAATTGATATACACAAGTCGGCATAAGTATTTCGACGTGTATGTTTGAGTTTAACTTTGAAATGGCTTTATAAAGAATATATAGAAATAGGCAATAAACCTATCCGGAAGGAAAGGTATAATCGTATAGAGTCGATGGTAAGATCCAAATCACCAACCCATTATATGCAACACATTCCCAAAATATAACAAAACCTACACGATGGCTCAGTTTGTGAGTATCTTTTTCGAATTTGAAAATTTTTGGATATATTTGAAAATGTTACAGAAAATGCATTTTTTGATGAGTTATATTTAAAGGAACTTTCATCAGTCTATAGAAGATTTCTTTAGAACTCTTTTAGCTTGTGCAGATGTTTTTTTTTTAGCGAAGATCAGTCTTTTAAGCATGTTTGCCTTTGATATGATAACACTCACGCAAGAAGTAAGTATAGGTCCAAAAAATTCTACGTTAAGTTATAAAAAAGCTTATAAAATACGTATAAATAATAAAATAAGGTTCAAATTGATACTTTAGGGGATAATCACGCTGTTTTAGGACTTCATTTAATTTGTTTGAATTCTGACTTTCTTCAGCAGTAATTTTCACCCATTCTGCTTGCATTTTAATCTTCAAAGCCTCTTTACTTGTTATCACATGTTGACGAATTGTAAAGATCACGTGATTGTTGAGGCGTTTTAAGCTGTCTTGAAACATTGCATAAAAGCCAAATTCGAACATCTCCGCTGTGTGTTTTGGGTCGTGTCGTGTTGAAAGCAAAACGTCGTGGATAAGCCCATATTATCTGCGCTTTGCTTTAAATCCCTTTTTAAAATGTTTAAAAAGCCCTATTTATTCATTGTCGATTCCGTAAATTCCAACTGGCCTATACCACCAGCTGCCATGCAACCCCATACCATAACTTCACCACCGCCCAATTTTTGACAAATAT